CACACACACACACACACACACACACACACACACACACACACACACACATGTTTAAAAGCTATTTTTAAAGTGTGTGTTAGCCTAATTTAATAGCATCTACACAGTCCCTTTAAAGAGAATTTTACCAGTTGTATTAAGAAATCAAGTGATTGCAGGAGCTTATAAAGAAGAGCTCATGAAGTAACACTGAGAAGTCACAGATTAATATGAGAAACCACAAAACAATAGATATTCCACAGTGACATGGAGTAACGATAGATACTCCTACTAGCAGGAATGGTCAAAGAAACATGTTCATTAGAGTCCAGAGAATCATATACAATAGCCATGCTTTGGGTTTCAAATAAGTGACTTTCTTAAGTATGTAGGAAACAAATCAGCCGGATGTGAAGGTGCACCCCTCTAATTCCAGCACTAAGAGAGGCAGAGGCAGGCAGATAAATGTGAGTCAGGCAGCCTGGCCTACAAAGCAAGTCCAGGAGGGCCAAGACTACACAGAGAAACCCTGTCTTAAAAAAACAAAAAAGGAAAACAAGAAAACCCAAAGAACAAATAAAAAATAGCACACAGATAGAATCAATGGGTATATGACAAAATGCCATCATCTGGCGCCCTAACAACCAGCAACAGTGACAGCAGCAACATAATGGAGAGACGAACAAAAGCAGCAGCATCAGGTTAATTGTTGGGCCATTCCACACGGGTCAGCTTCCCACTTCCTTCCCACTGCAGGCATGATTAGAGCAGTGGGAAAAATGAGCATAACCTTGGTTGGAATTGGTTTCCCTTTTAACTGTTCTCAAGGACAGAATGTTTTAATACCCTCGGTTGCTTGCTATGTTTCCCTCTCTCATTTCAGAGCCAGGGGGCTGTTTTCCCTCTCCCATCCTGAACCAGGTCGGGGTTTTGGAGAACACAGACATAGACATGTTTGAAGCTGATACATGGATCTCAGCAGCTTTCAACAAGTTTAACTAGCACACAGATATTCTTACTGTGTATTATACAATCATATACTTCAACATTATTCAGCAGTAAAATAAAGTAACATCAGATAACCACAGAATAACAGGATCCTACAGGACAGGACTTCATAAAGTAACAACAGGAGTCCACAGAGTAACAACTGAAGCTAGCAGAGAGTCAGCAGGGGACCTCAAAGGAATCTCAAAAGACAAGAGTGATGGCACAAGCCCAGAGACAGTTCCAGAAAAATCAACAAACACTGGTAAGTAAGTATTGCTACAGTTCCTACACTTGAATCTCCTTGTGAAGATAGTTGGTGCTCTCTACAATTCAAGCTGTAAAAGAAAGGAAGCCACTAGGAGAGATAAAAACACCCCCTGTAAATGTGTGGAAGCTGGGAGATGTGACATTGCTAGACTGAAGGCATGAAATCAGAGTGAGTGGCAAGAAGGTACCTACTCAACAGAGATTTGGCCATTAAATTCGTTTATCACACTTAAATATTTAGGTCAGGAGAAAAATACCATGTGTACTAGCCGGTTCTGTGTCAACTTGATACAAGCTAGAGCCATCAGAGGAAGGAGCCAAAGTTGAAGAGATGCCTCCATGAGATCCGCTGTAAGAAGTTTTCTCAATTAGTGATCAACTGCAGAGGATCCAGTGCATTGTGGGTGGGCCACCCCTGGGGTGGTGGTCCTGAGTTCCATAAGTAAACAGACTGAACAAGCCACAGGGAACAAGCCAGTAAGCAGCACCCCTCCATGGCCTCTGCATCAGTTCCTCCCTTCAAGAATGCAAGATCCTGCCGTGTTTGAGTTCCTGACCTGAATTCCTCCAACAATGAACAATGAATGTGGAAGTGTAAGCCAAATAAACCCTTTTCTCCTCAACTTGCTTTTCAGTCATGGTGTTTCACCACAGCAATAGAAACCCTAACTAAGACACCATGTTTCTTTAATTTTGTCACAGAAATCATAATCTGTCAATCATCAAGAAGTTGGGAAAACTTAACATGGTGGTTGATTTGGCACAGGTACCCTGGTGATCATGTATTCGAAGGCTTGGTGTGGTGGTAAATTATGGACTGTGTGTCCTGAGGGTGAGTTTGCACCTACCTTTCTTAGCTTTTTCTCTTGCACACAGACAGGTATGCATCCTTGACCTTGGGTGTTACATAGTCTGGGCTCAGAGAATAGCTTGTTTTGTGTCTCTGGAATTTGGAGCATAGCATATTTAATGGAGTCTTTACTCAACATGCAAAGGCTACTTTTTCCATATAGCATTAATGCTGTGGCAAGAAATAAGCCACCAACATGAGTGTGACACCTTATCAGGGTACAGGGAGATTCACATGCCATGTGCTCCCTACTGAGAGTCTTGAGAGATGCTTGGCTAATGATTCCAACTGGAAACCCCATCCAAGCAACACACCCATTCCCGATATACCAGGAACAAGTCTGGCCTTGAAGGTCATACCAAACATGGTGTTGGGGTTCACTTGTATTTACAATTGTTTCCACAGTCACGTGCCTATCTTGTTACTTATGACTTTGAGACACAAGCAATAAAATAAGTGACAGAAGATCCTTTGAACCGGAGGGGCCGTTGGCATGGAGCCCAAGCCTTACAGCAGGTAAAGCTCCTGGCTTAGTGAAATACATCCGAGTACAGGAACAGCAGGTTTCTCAGAGCTGGAGTGTGGACTTCAAACATGGCTCTCTTTCCTTCATATACCAGACAGGTTCTGTCTCTGTGTCCGTAGAGCCTAGAGTTCTAGGGCCTGCTCCTGTTATCTAGCGTTACTTGGCACCCTACGTTGATTGGGCTTTGTGGTTAAAGTTGGGTTTTTTGTTGTTTTTTTTTAATGAGGCCAGAACTTTCTTCAGTACATATAGGACCTAAGTTGAGTGTGTATGACTAATGACACAGAAGGGAGGGGGACATTTCTTGGTAACCAACCCTCCACCTCTAGTTTCCAGATTCCCATGTCTGAGTATTTTGAGCCACCTCTTGAGCACACATGAAGGAAAACACAGCAAGAAATCAACAGTTTTGTCTTCTTATTTTCACCCAAAATGTAAAGCCCAGCGCATGTACATGATACATTTCAGCAGTGAAGGCATTATTACTGAAGGCCCAGTGTGTAGGACTGAAGAAAGACAAGTCAGAAATGGTGGCTTGTGACTTCTCTGTTAGAATATTCTATTCTAGAGCTTTTCCACTATGACAAACTAAAACAACTTTAGGCCAGGGGTCCCCAACTGCATGTTTATAGCTATCACAGAAAAACTTAAAGGCAAGATAGTTTAGAGAACCCAGGAAGCTGACTTTTGCACCTAGGTTAGGAAGGTGCTAAAACTAGATTCAGTTTAGGAGTTAAGGATGTGATACCAGACTTTGCCCTGCTCCAAGTTACTCTATATTATGGGGGGCAGAGGAGAACAGAGAGACTCCATTTTACAAAAAGCCTCTGGCTCCACTTGAAGATGAGGACTAAATGTGCACCTGAGTACACAGGCACGCAACAGTGTCTGTCCAGGACCACCCAGGCAGCAGAGACTGATAAATTACTTCCTTTTTAGGAGTAGAAAGTTTTTACTCTATAAATGTATCAGGGTGAATTGAGACGGTGAGACTACAGAGGCACAT